AACTCTGTCCAGCATGACATGACTGATCTTTGGCATAGAAGATTAGGTCATATCAGTAGTAAGGGACTAGGAATTTTGCATAAAAACAACTATCTGAGTGATGACATTGTTGTTGATATGCCTTTGTGTGATTCATGTGTTATAGGTAAACAGTCTAAAGTGAAATTCCCTAAATCCCCTTTCCCTAATACTTCTAAGTGCACAGAAACCCTTGAATATGTTCATGCAGATGTTTGGGGTCCTGCACCTGTCTCCTCACCTGGTGGAAACAGATATTTCTTGTCTGTTGTTGATGATTATTCAAGAAAAGTGTTTGTTTTCTTACTTGTGCAAAAGTCTGATGTTTTTGATAAGTTCAAATCTTGGAAAACCTTTATTGAAAATCAAACAAACAAGAAACTTAGAAGCCTTAGAACTGCTAATGACACTGAATTTTGCAATCATGAATTTGATTCTTTGTGTGCTGAGTTTGGCATTAGAAGACATAGGACTGTTGCTTATACCCCTCAACAGAATGGCATAGCTGAAAGAATGAATAGGACATTAATGGATAGAGTTAGATCCATGTTGCATGCATCTGGTTTGCCTAAAGTTTTTTGGGGTGAAGCTGTCTTAACAGCTGCTTATGTGATTAACAGATCTCCATCTGTGCCTTTGTCTGGAAATTTGCCTGAAACTATGTGGACTGGGAAACCAGCTGATTTGTCTAATTTGAGAGTTTTTGGTTGTTCTGCTTTTGTTCACCATAAAACTGATAAATTAGAACCTAGTTCCTTAAAATGTGTTTTTATTGGATATCCTGAAGGGGTAAAATGATATAGATGTTGGCTAAAGAATGAACATGGTTTTAAAACAATCATTAGTAGAAATGTTGTTTTCAATGAGAATGAATATCCTTGTTTGCCTGTGCCTTCATTTATTGTTCCCCCCTTTGCTCCAATTGAGGTGGAAAAATCTCCTCTTGGAAATGAGGAAATTGAGACTGTTGATGATGATGATTCATCCTCTGTGCCTGAAAATGTGTTTGATCAAAATGTTGAGTCTGATTTACCTGATATTGATGATTTGCATGATTATCAACTTGCTAGGGATAGACCAAGAAGAGAAATTTGGAAACCTCATCATCCTGATAATTTTCAGCTTGCATCTTTTGTGTTCAATGTGTTTGATGCTTTAGATGGTAATGAACCTAAGTGCTACAAAGATGTTTTAAAATCTTCAGAATCTGCTATGTGGTTATCTGCTATGAAAGAGGAATTAACTCCTTGCATGTCAATCATACTTGGACTCTTGTCCCAAAACCTGCTAAGTGCTCTTTGATTGAATGTAAATGGCTCTTTAAAATTAAGCATGAATCTGATTCTGTTAGATATAAAGCTAGGCTTGTAGCTAAAGGTTTTACACAAAGAGAGGGTATTGGCTATACTGAAAATTTTGCTCATGTTGTTAAATTCACCACTATCAGAATTTTACTTGCTCTAGTTGCTCAGTTTGAGTGGGAACTTAAGCAAATGGATGTTAAAACTGCCTTTCTGCACGGTGATCTTGATAAGCAAATTTTCATGTCTCAACCTGAAGGCTTTGTTGATTCTGTTAGTCCTGATTATGTATGTTTGTTAAAGAAATCTCTTTATGGCCTTAAGCAGTCTCCCAGGCAGTGGAACAAAAAATTTGACTCTTGCATGCTTTCTTTGAAATTTAAAAGAAGTGAATATGATCCTTGCTTGTATTTCAAAGATGATTGTCAATTTCCTGTGTTCCTGTTAATCTATGTTGATGACATGCTTATTGCTGGCCCCTGTTTAAAGGTTATTGATCATGTGAAGAAGTGCCTAAGTGAAAACTTTGACATGAAATTTCTTGGTGATTCTAAAAGAATTCTGGGTATGGACATAGTTAGGAACATAAAAGATTGTTCTTTGTTTCGGAACCAATTTGCTTATGTTGAAAAAATCTTAGACAAATTTTCCATGAAAAATGCCAAGTCTGTATCTGTGCCTTTAGCTGCTCATTTCTTGCTAAGTAAGGAACAGTCTCCAAAGACTGAACCTGAAATGTGTGATATGAAATATGTTCCTTATGCTAATGCAATTGGTTCTATGATGTATTTAGTGGTCAGTACTAGACCTGACATTGCATATGTTGTAAGCTGTTTGAGTAGATATATGGCTAATCCTGGCATGCCTCACTGGGAGGCTGTAAAGTGGTTAATGAGATATCTAAGAGGGTCTGTTAGAACAGGGATTGAATTTTCTAAGTGTGAAAAATGAATTGTCTTATGTGGTTATGTGGATTCTAATTATGCAAACAACAGAGATAATAGGAAGTCCACCACATCTTATGTGTTTACTTTGTGTGGTTCTTGTATTTGCTGGAAATCTCAACTTCAAAATCTTGTAGCCCTTTCTACCACTAAGGCAGAATACATTGCAGCTACTGAGGCTATAAAAGAATCTCTCTGGTTGAAAGGGTTGCTCTCAGAAATTGGCTTCTTGAAAGGTAAAGTTGTAGTTTTCTCTGACAGCCAATCAGGTATACAATTGTGCAAGAACCCTGTTTTCATGACAGAACAAAACACATTGAGATTAAATACCACTTTATCCGGAAAGTGGTGGAAAAATGAGAGATAGACCTGGAGAAAATTCCTTCTGAATTCAACCCTGCTGACATGGGCACTAAGTGCCTACCTGTGGAAAAATTGAGATCATGTTTGAGAACCTTGAACATTGTCTCAAAACATGATTGAAACAGACATGTGTATGTCTGCTTGATGTGTGCAAGTATGTTTTTGCTTTCTCTGTGATAGCTTGTGTTATTTTAACTTTTCTGTGGTGTTAAAGTTTTGTGTATCTTGGTGATTACCTCCTTTGTGGAAAAAAATACTTTTTTGAATCTTCTACTACAATCTGTGTGATTAGTGTTTAAGATTCAAAGTTACGACAATGATGATCCCAGTCCATTAAGTGCGTTCATAATAATCATTTTATTGGTCTCAGGTGGAGAATTGTTAAGTATTGAGCCCAATAAAAATGATCTGTTGTGATCTGGGCCTATAGCTTAATAATTCAAAGACCAACTTGTGAAATCGGGCCCAATATTATGTAAGCCCACTGATCCAGTCAAACTAAGATCTGAACCGTTGATGCTAGGGCTTCAATCTGAGCCCTCCATTTGCCTCATTCTTCTTACCTTTCTCAACCCTAAGCAGCATTCTTCTGTTGCGCCGTTTCTCTCTCTTCCATTGTCCCCTTCTCTCTTTACAGTGTTTCGTCACCCCTTGTCGTTTTCCGGTGACACCGTCGCAGGTCTGGCCGGACAATGGGTGTCCTTGCCGTCGGAGCACATTTAATGCTGAAGACCGTTGAAACTCCGTGTATTTATACTGTGGTGAGAGAGAGAGACAAGTGTGATTCACCTTTGATTCAAACCGTATCTTTTTTGGCCTTAATCCTCTTCTGTGAGGGTTTCGGTGTTGTGTGTGCAGAAATTTGGGTTTGTGCTGAGTGGAGAGGGTGAGTTATCTCCGAGTTGATTGTGCATGTGTTGGTGAGTCAACTTGGAGTGAGGTTTGGGGGTCAGATCTAGGGTTCCGAACAGTGGTTGTAGCTTGGTGCTTGTTTTCAGTTGGTGTTACCACCAGACCTTGGATCTACTTGATGAACACTGGAAAAGGAAACTGGGCCGTTCTTATTCAATATCAATTTTATTTCTCGTTTCAGTTGTTTTAATTGTTTTCTCGGATCCATGGCTGTTTTGGAAAGAACCTGTACCTAACACTTTAATTGTGAGTTTAAAGCTATTTTCTTGTATGGTGTATAGTTTCAAAATATACTATTTCGAAAAGAAAAACAGTAGAACAAAATCATAGACCCATGCTTTCCCCTCTTCTTAATCTTCATCTCCTTCTTTTGGATCTCCCTAGCTAAGCCGGAGCCATGCAACACCACCACTTCCGCCGCCAGAGGCGCACTAGTAGAAAAATGGTTTTTTTACTTCACCATTAACAGTAGCAAAATGTATCAAAGTCGTAGTAAAAAGGCTTTTGCTACACATTCGCTACGAATTTGTCCCGTTGCATATACGGACATGACAAAAACTTTGCTACGGTAAATCGTACCAAATACTTTTTTGCTACGGTAAATCCTAGTATTTACTACGACTTCAAAAATTTAGTCCCGTAATAAAAAAAACATTTTGTTACGGTCTTTTACTGTAGCAAAAACTTTCGTAGTAAAAAGCAAATTTTCTATTATAGTTTCGGCTCCACCCTTGAAGTCCGGCACTTGGCCGACTCCCATAATGGAAGCAACGATTGTAACAATAGTCATTTATATTGCACACAGAGAGCAAGATTGCCTTTTGTGTTGATCCCAAAAAAGAAGAAAAGGACGAAGTAGTGAATGGAGTTCAGATTTCACCACAATTGTTTTCAACATTATTAGCGTATATATTATATATATTACGTATATTATTATTATTCTAAAAAAAGCCCCCTTGTAAAAAAGGTTCCTTTGGGAAGGGGGTTGGGGTTTTTTCCAGGGAACTATATATAGGATTCCTATCCGGGGGGGATTTTTTTTTTTTTTTTCCCCAAATTTTTTTCTCCTATAGGATTCCAGCCCCTGGGTTAACCTGGCGGTCCCCCCCCTTTTTTTTCAATAGGGGTGGCCCCCCCCCCCCCCCCCTCTTCTCCCTCCACCGCCCCTCTCAATCCTTTTCACCTTGCTCATGCCATCTCTAATATCAAATTTCTTATCCTCGTTATTCTAGATCTGAAAAATCCCAATGATCAAAAGTGGAGCCACTTTTTCACAATTACCGTCGGTCGTTTCTGCCTCTTCGATCTTCTACATGGAAAACCCCGACCGGATTCGATTTCCGCCGATGAATGACAGCGCGCCAACTATCTCCTCCAATCTTGGATCTACGGCACCATCTCCGATGATCTGTCCAGCGTGGTTCTCTCAAAAACCTCCACCGCCAGTGATCTATGGACCGCCATGTCTTCTCTCTTCACCGATAACAAAGATTATCGAGCCATTGAACTTGAAGAAAAATTCAAGTCCCTCAAGAAAGGCACTCTCTCCATTCACGATTATTGCCAAATAATCAAAACCACGGCGGGCAAATTGGCCGATGTCGGAAATCCAATCTCCGACAAACAACTCGTCCTACAAACCCTACACGGCCTTCCGAAAAATTATGGGACCGTCGCCAACCTCATCTCCTTTAAGAATCCCCTTCCCACCTTTCTACAGACTCGATCGCTTCTTCAGATGGAAGAAACAAGAATTGCTGAACTGGAGCAGACCGCTGTTGTTTTCTACGCCTCCAACGCGAACTGTCCATCCCACAGTTGCAACGGTTCCTGCAATAGTTCCCGCGGAGGTAGTTCTTCGCGCTATCAGCGCGGGGGTGGCCGATCCAACCATTGCGGAGGTCACAGCACTAACCGTCACCCCATGCAACACTACGGCTACCAGAGTGCTCATGGTGCATCTCAACTCTGGCGCGCACCTTACTGAAAACCATCAATTCTGGGATCAGCTCCGTGTTGCTCCTCCCTCAGACTTCGTCTAACTGTTGCATCAGTTCCCCCAACTGTTCCAACAGTGAACCACCTTGTTCCAACAGTTCGTCCAACAGTCCTATAACACAGCCAACACCTGTTTCACCTGCAACACCACCTCTCAACCACGACCAGCTCACAACCTCTTCTCCTACGTCCACATCTCCTTCTCCTACTCCCACACCTCCCTCACCCCCCCTGCTCACCCTATGGTGACTCACAGTAAAGTGGGAATCCACAAACCCAAAGTCCCTTTCTCGCTCGTTGCGTCATCTACCTCTTCCATTCCCACCAACTATCGCAAAGCTCTTCTTGACCAAAATTGGCGAAACGCCATGATTGAAGAATATACTGCTTTAATTAAAAACAATACTTAATTAAAAACAAGTCTGATGGCTCCCTTGAGCGATACAAAGCACGGTGGGTTGTTCGTGGGTTTCACCAGCAGGCTGGCATCGATTTTGACGAGACTTTTAGCCCACTTGTCAAACCATCCACTGTTTGATCAATTCTTAGTATTGCTCTCTCACGATCATGGCCAATCCACCAGCTTGATGTGCAAAATGCCTTCTTACATGGCAATCTCTCTGAAACTGTCTACTGCGAGCAACCTCCCGGATTCGTCGATCCATCTCGCCCCACTCACATGTGTCGTCTCAACAAAGCACTCTACGGTCTCAAGCAGGCACCACGTGCTTGGTACAAGAGTTTTGCATTTCACATTACTACCGTGGGGTTCAGAGAATGCAAGTCCGACACTTCACTCTTTGTGTACTTTCGCAACAGTTCACCCGACTGTCGCAACAGTGCACGCGACTGTCGCAACAGTGCACGCGACTGTCGCAACAGTTCATGCGCCTACCTTCTGCTGTATGTCGATGACATTGTACTTACGGCCTCTACACCTGAATTGTTCCGCTCTATCATCGCTTCCCTTAATCAAGAGTTCCCAATGAAGGATCTCGGCGATCTTCACTACTTTCTCGGCATCTCAGTTACTCGCTCGTCAAATGGGCTATTTCTCTCTCAACGCAAGTACGCCGACGAGATACTAGAGCGTGCACACATGGCTTCTTGCAGCCCTTGTCTTACGCCGGCTGACACAAAGAGCAAGTTGTCTTCGACCACTGGACCCCTCGTTGCTGATCCTACTCTTTATCGCAGCCTTGCCGGTGCACTGCAATACCTCACGTTTACTCGTCCCAACATCTGCTATGCTGTGCAACAAATATGTCTATTCATGCATGATCCGAGGGAACCTCATATGGCTGCTCTCAAGCATATCCTTCGCTACATTCGTGGCACTCTCGATCACGGCCTTCAGCTCTCCCCCAATCTGGACCTCTCCGTTATCACTTACTCCGACGCCGATTGGGGTGGCTGCCCTGACACTCGTCGTTCGACATCGGGCTATTGTGTTTTCCTCGGAAACAACCTCATCTCTTGGTCCTCCAAACGACAGGTCACTACTTATCGATCGAGTGCTGAGGCCGAATATCGAGCTGTCGCAAATGCCGTCGCCGAAACGACTTGGTTACGCAACCTACTTTCTGAGTTTCTCTGCCCACTTTCGAAAGCCTCTATTGTCTACTGTGACAACGTCAGTGCCGTCTACCTATCCAACAATCCTATTCAACACTCTCGTACGAAACATGTGGAGATCGATATCCACTTTGTCCGAGACAAAGTTGCTTTGGGACACGTTCGAGTTCTTCACGTCCCATCCGCCTACCAGTTTGCCGATATGTTCACGAAAGGACTCCCTACTCAACTGTTCCAACAGTTTGTCTCTAGTCTCCACGTCCTCTCTTTTCCCGTTTCGGCTGCGGGGGTGTATTAGCGTATATATTATATATATTACGTATATTATTATTATTCTTGTTTATTATAGTTACCTTGTATAATAGGTTACCTTATGTAGTAGGTTAGGGTTTTCTACATGTAACTATATGTATGATTAATATACGTGAGAGATATTATTCTCTCTTTTCTCCAAATCTATTTCTCCTATAAAACATAAGCAAATTCGGGGAATGGATGCCTTCATCAAGAATCTCTCTCTCTCTCTACTTCAATGAAGACGTCTTCAATAATAAATTTCAATTGTGATGGCTAAGTGGCCCTGGAGCCAAATAATTTAAGGAAGCAACACATTTGTGATATCTTTATTGTCTGTAGTCAAGAAAATAATAAACATTTGTGATGGTTGGGAAATGATAAATAATAGAGAAAAAATGTGGTTTATGGTTGCCTAAAAATGGATGGAGCACAGTGACTCACTGTTGAACCCTTAATTTCCATCCAAATAATTTTCCCGGCGAAATTTTCAATCGGAAAGTGCTATAGGATGCATTTTGCCAAGCTAATTATAATAGGAGGATGTAAAATGCAAAATTTACAATTTAAGGGTGGGATGTGCCAAATGGGTCTATTTGAAGGGTGCAAAGTGCCAATTATCCGTTTTGGGCTTTGTTTTCTTGGTTCTCGAACTATTTTATACATTTCTTAATTTCTTTTCCAATTCATGTTTTTCATTTTCTTTTGGCAAAGCTTGTTGGGAAAAACAAATTTTGTTCAACCCGCCACATCAGCAAAAACAAACGGAATGGCAAATGGAGGGACCATTTTGTTACGTTTTGTAGTATAACGGGTGTTTGTGACATGCTCCATAGTTTAGGGGTGCAAACTGTATTTTTTCTTAAATTATATTTACAAAACAAAAAATTGATAATTTCATAAATTGTTTCTTTAAAATATTCTATTACAATTAATATTATTTAAAATATATTCAAATGTAATATAAAGATCAAAACAAGATTTATTTAATGGGGCCCATTTGATATACACCTCTCATAAGCAACTTATATAGGGCTAGGTCCACCCCTAAAATTCTTTCTTTGAGATAATCTCCTGCAGAGGTAAAAGTACTATTGGGCCCTTACGATCAATTTCCACCCAACTGCATTCAGCATTTCCACTAACTACAGTCAACATTTCCACAGCATTTCCACCAACTACATTTTAGCATTTTTGACCTGCATTTACCACCTTTACAGATTTTTTTATATATATATATATATATATATATATATATATATATATATATATATATATATATATATATATATATATATACATTTTTGTATTTTTTTATTTTTTAGTTTTCTTTTACTTTTCTTTTAATTATTTTAATTTTTTTTTTTTTTTGAGTTTTTTTTAATTTTAATTTTTTTTTTAAATTTTCATATATTAGTTTTTAAATTATTTACTTAATAAGTTTCCTGTACAAAAATTGACTATAAATGACTATAGTATACTAGCATAATTATATGTAGTCATGAACTGTTTTTTACACCAAAATTGAGTATATATAGAAAAACAACTTCGTCTACATCAACAAAATTCACAATTTGAAACTTGATATTATAAATCAATTAGTACCCAACAAAAAATTAGAAAAACACCAACATTACTATACATCAGGAAAAGCCACATAACTAATATATAACTATATATTACTACATGTGACTATATATGACTACATCTATATGACAACATGTGACTATATACGACTACTTGTATATGACTACATATGATTATATACGACTACATGTACATGACTACATGTGACTATATATTGCTACATGTGACTATATACGACTACATCTATATGACAACATGTGACTATATATGACTACTTGTATATGACTACATATGATTATATATAACTACATGTAAATGACTACATGTGACTATATATGACTACATGTATATGACCACATGTGACTATAAGAATATATAGTATAGTTTGTATTTATGGCTTCAAATCCTACTTTTCAACACGACAGTAACTTCGATCTAATCGGTAACTTTTTCGAACTCACGAACAACATGTCCTCTCGGCAAAAGCTTAGTGCATAGAAGGTGTTCAAACACCAAAACCTGTGGAAAAAAAAACAGGTTCAATTTAAATATTTATATTATAAATCAACTCATAACCAAAATATAAATCGAAATACGCAATCACGTGCATATGTCACTACATGTTACTATATGTTAGTAAATTATCGTCGACCGACAAATATCGATTAACATACAATTTCATCCATTGCATCCACACACAGAAGAATTTCTTCTTAAAAATAGGTATGTATAGTAACTTTGCAGTATCAACATTTTAGGTTCGTAGATCTAACACGTATCTTTAAAACCGTATCAGAAGTTTTCAATGGTTACCTATGAATCATGTGAAAGATGCAGTTTAGCTCCAGTATAACAAAGAATAGAACAATTCAACCTAAAAACATAAAAAACATAAAACAATACGAGTTAGAGAAAAAGACCATAAAAATGGAAAATGCAATTATGCACATTTGAGTGTTGACTTTGTAGGACATAATGACCATTAGACACTTCGACCAATAACAGAGAAAACCACAATAACAGAGAAAACCACATTATCTGCCTCTTCAAACTCCAAACCTACATTGAGTGTCTCTATTTTGTTTTACAGCAATGAACACAATAAGATCGGACTTATGTTTCCCACATTACACTTAAAAATAGTATTCTTCGCAGCTCCACTAATTCCAAGACCCGCCTTAACAATGATTCCACCATCACGAACAATATAAAATAAAATACCAAATAAATTTAGGGAGCAATACAGTGCTTTCATTTATTACTGCTAATTTCCTCAAACGAAACCATTAAATTATTGAGTTGTTTTCTAAAATAAATAAAAGTTTCATCAGAATCCACTTGGTTTGCATTTAACATCGTCCTCATTCAAAATGCATATGCAAACAAGAGATTAAAAGGGATATGTTATTCCAAAAATTAATTAATACCAGCGAAATTTTCGACGAAAAGGATGTCGCCTGCTCGCAGCAGCCTTGCTAGACGCCGTCACCAATTCTCCTCTCATCGTGGATGATGGGCGGAGAAGTCGCGGAA